ATAGAGATGATAGAGATAATAGAGATGATAGAGATTATAGAGATGATAGAGATGATAGAGATAATAGGGATTGTAGGGATTATAGAGATTATAGAGATTAGAAGTATGCATGCGCTTCAGTGACGATGTCCTCACAGGTCCCTTCATCCCCTCGCCAGTCTTCCCATGAAAACGACACAAGGTCACTGTTACCGGTGACTTTTGTAAATGTTAGATGTTATATATCATTATAAAGTCTTTTAATCAGTCCACTGTTGCAGCTTTACAAAAGTCACCAATAATAGTGACCTTCTAACCTCTATTTTTATTTTTTATACCGACTGTAAGTGTTGCATTTTGGGTAACGCAGTTTTCTAACAAAGTATTAAAACTATTAACATTTTCATAATGTAACTTAAAAAAATTAAATGACGTCATTCTTCTCTCAAAATAAAATGTTTTCTTTCTCTAAATGAATCTTAATAATTTACAACTTTATTCACAAAGTATTAAACATTTTTATTTCATTATTGTTGTTTTTTTTTGAGAGATTAATCTCATGCACAAACTCTAAATGCTGCATTGTGGGTACTGTAGTGTTTTCTCACTTTCTTTATTTGGTCACATGTTCTTTGATAAATCAGATTTGTGTGTTTATTAATTTAGAGTTTTTACTTTTTGAATGAATTGTGTTTTTTCATGACAATAATTAAATATGAAACATCTGGACTTCAGAGTGTGATGATTTTAATATGTGAAGAAGAAGAAGACGACCTCAGTTTGTCCACTAGATGTCAGCAGAGTTCTGTTATTATTAATGTATTTAGTTTTCTCTTCAGATGTCAGAGTATTAGTATTAGTATGTTTATGGTAATAACATGACCATTATTAATTGATTAATTAATAATAATATTTTTGTTAAATTTGGAAACATCAAATGTTTTACATGAAAGATGATTTCAACCGTCAAAATTATTTTACGTTAGTTTTCTGTGAATCCACTAATTGATTAATAGACTAGTTAATTAATGGATGTATTGATTCTTGTATGAACTGTTGTGGAGTTTAATTGATAACTCATCATTACTCATATATACATGTTTTGGAAATGTGCAAAGATACAAACATTGTGGAGAGAAGTGAAGGACGAAGTGCTTTCTTTGATTGAACTGATTGGAATGCTGTTGTATAAAGTACGATAGACTATTATTCAATTCTGGATTCCTAAAGATACCCCTTCCACGGATGACTGGTACGAGGGGATTCTGAGGGGATAATAATAATGAAAATGATATTTTTATATTAACATTAAACACAGAATTGTTCTTTTTACTAAGAAATCTCGAGTAAACAAAGAAGTTCAATAATAATCTAAAATTAACAGATAAAAGGTTAAAATATCATTTTATCATTTTAAAATTACATATTTACTTTATAAATTTATAAGTCAGATCTGATGCCCAGCGGTCAAACATTTTATTTATACATCTTTACATTTAATGCCAACAACTTAAATCTAAAAAAGTGAAGTTCACTAGTAAATAATAAAAGCTGCTAAATTATATTTATTATCATATTAATATTCAGAACTGGGATTAATTAATTAATTAATTTTAAAAATATTAAAATCTCGTGAACAATAAAATAAAAAACATTTCTGTTTCTGGAAAAAGAGAAAGATGAAAGAAAGTAGGCGGGTCGATGATATCTCATAAAGTTCAGTGACGAGAACCGGAACAAAGCCGGAAATTAAGGGATTGATTCTTCAAAATAAAAGCACAAATGTCAAAGTTTCAATTATCTTTTTATTTATCTATGACATCTATTCACTGAGAGGAGAACTTTTACTTCGTCTCAGATTTAAATACATTCAATGTCACACACTAATAAAATAAAATGAAAGCGGCGTTCAGGTAAAACAGCTGAAAAACTGCAACTGACCATTGTTTTCACTTCCGGTTTATCTGCTCGATTACTATGTTTTTGTAAAACATCATAAAATTAAAGACAAATTATAAATTCCCAAAGAATAAAAACCAAATCCTCTTGATGAGGTCGTATCTGCTCTTCAGGATTAATCCATCATCAGAGTGTCTGTTCATCAACTAATCACTTCATTACTAATATGTTTGTCTCTGCATATGAATAAATATATATTTAAAAAGTTTTTTAGTTTTCGTTCGTCGTTAATACAAATGTACACTTAAAAAAAACACTTCACGCGGTCAGAAGTGATTGAAAATAAACTCAATTTAATTTAGTATTATTTGTATTATTAGACGTAGTATCATACTAAGTCATTATGATGAGATAGTATCATACTAAGTCATTATGATGAGATAGTATCATACTAAGTCATTATGATGAGATAATATCTCATTGTAATGACTTATAGGATCTTTATTTTTTCCTCACAGTGGCAGCAATGGGCATCCACAGCTATCGCGTTTGTCGGGGTTTTATTTTGAAAGTCCGGGCCGGATGTTCTGTGTGGCGAGGTGTGTAACTTGACACCGTGTTCCACGTTCTGGAGAACGTAGCGGACAGAATGTGGCATTCAGGGAGCGGAGGGAAAACCAGGAGGAGCGTCATCGTACAAAAGTAGTAAAACCTCTAAAAGGCAAATTTATACATGAACTCCGCGCGTGGATTAAACTTTAATCTGAAGTCAACATTCCTGGATTATTAAACTGGATTTGTTTTTTACTGGAATATCAACACAAGGAATAAAGTTTCTTTCCTACAAACTGCCGCCGTGGTCCGCGAGAAATCCGGTGTGGAAAGTTTCTACCGTACATTCACAAAACAGAAGAAACAAGGTAACGTGGTCCGGTTCACGTGAGATTAAATACATATTCGTACAGTTATGGATCCGTTGAAACGGTTCTTACGGAACTGGTTCAACCAGCGTCGGTCTTCAGGTCTGTTTATATCCAGACTCCGGACCACATCTGACCCTGTTTTCCGGGTCCTTCACTCCTTCACATATCTGCAATCTGAGCACTTGATCTGAATATTAATACATAAACTATTGTAGTATTCAGACAATAAACACTTTTTCTGTGTCCTCGGAAACAAATCTCCAATTCGGCGGGCTTCAGCACCATCAGTGAGCTCGTGAGCTCAGACACAGTCAGGTTATAATCGGGTCCCGGCCCCCCCCCCCCATTGTGCGTCATTCTGATGAAACCCAGTGAAGGTTCAGAGGTGATCTTCAGAGTGAAACCTTTCAATGAATGTTGTGTTTGTGTAGTTCACGAGACAGGAAATAGAAACAGTGACTTTTTATACCAGCTCTGGTTTAATATCACAGAGAATGTCTCATATGAAGACAGAACTGTTACAACTTATTATCAAGTGTAAACAATCAAAACAGCAACACTTTACCTTAAATATATAAATGTATACATATATATATATATATATATATATATACATATATATATATGTCTGTGTGTGTATATATATATCTGTCATGTGACTCTTGTCTGACTCGGAGTGTCAGAGTGACTCGTTGTTCCCTCACTGAGAGTAGAAACTATGTGGACTCTGAGATCTGGCTGCAAAAACCTATTTTTTCTGTTTATGCAGAAACACTGTTGTTGTTTTAGGCCGGTGCTGCACGTTCTCCTGTTCTCATGTTCTCATGTTCTCACATTCTCCTGTTCTCCTGTTCTCACGTTCTCCTGTTCTCCTGTTCTCCTGTTCTCACGTTCTCACGTTCTCCTGTTCTCCTGTTCTCACGTTCTCCTGTTCTCCTGTTCTCACGTTCTCCTGTTCTCCTGTAGAGATCAGGACGAATGTTATCTGAGTGACACTGAGAGTTGATTCTGTTCACCGAGCTGGAAGAGTTTAAGTAGCTCTGTGCTGATATTTTGTCACAAAAGAGCCCGAGGGAAGAGCAGGACTAGGGCAGGACTAGATGAGGACTAGGGCAGGACTAGATGAGGACTAGGGCAGGACTAGAGCAGGACTAGATGAGGACTAGAGCAGGACTAGGGCCGGACTAGATGAGGACTAGATGAGGACTAGAGCAGGACTAGATGAGGACTAGGGCAGGACTAGAGCAGGACTAGGGTCAGCCACACAGGGACGGGAACCAACAGCAGGTGGTTCCACCCGTCCGTTCATCTCCTCTGGTTTAAATAAATCAGTGGAGTTTGGACAAACTCATCTGCTGTTTTACAGCAACTCTGTTTAAAGATATGAAATATGTGAGTGTAGTTTGGTGACATCCTGGTCCTGAGGCTCTGGATCAGTGTTGACCCAGCAGAGTGATGATCTGTTTGTGTTTGGATGTTTGTTGAGCTGTAATTAAAGCTCACAGGAGCTTTAACACTCACCTGTGACAGCTGTGTGTGTGTGTGTGTGTGTGTGTGTGTCACATTTTCTTTAGAAGATCACAGATCTGATCTCGTTTACATCTCAAGTTAAAGCTGATTAGACTCGATGAGGATTTAGGAGGGATCAGGATCCGATAAGTGGATTCAGGACTGGATTTTGTTTCATAAGATGCTCCTGAACCCAGATCCTTCATGCATGTTTAAGCATCCGGTTTATCCTGTTACAGGAATCTCTGCTGGTCTCAGTCCTCTCACACACCTCCAGAG